GACTGGTCGAGGCCTCGTGATTGACCAGTTGATCACAATCGACAGGCTGGGGGACCGTGGGGGCACGGGGCCCGATTTGGGGGAATAGGTTGAATCGGCCTAAGGCTGGCCCTGGTCTTTCTAATACCCTGGACCAACAGGGCTACAACACTGCAAACCATGTTAATGTGCATAAATAAAAGGGCATTAAACCTGAATGCACACAGTCCTTCAGAAGCGAAGTGGCTGGTTGTAGTTTAATCTTCCCTTAATTTAGCACATGCGAACAGGCAATATGCCACATGGACACTGCTACATCACAGTGAAAGTCCTGGTGTAGGGTCCTGGCCTTTCACATCCTGGCATGCTGCACAGTAATGTGCTGTGTAGACAAACCCATACCTATATTAGCTTCACACCGTTAGTTAATTTATCTCAACTTTTCTGTGTACCCCAGTGTAGACAATCCCAACTATAGTAGATACTCAAACAAGTGCTCCCTCTTATACTTGTTTCAACTTCATCCTACAGGAAGGAAAACTATAAGCCTCTGTTTCCATACAAAGCAATCAGCTTTCTGGATTACAGCTTCACTGCAGGAGCATGGCAAATAGCATAGCTCAGCCTGGAAAATAAAGCCTGATAAAACAGCTCTTATCTCCTTGGAGTGTTTAAAACCCAAATATTGCAGCACCAAGAACCCAACCTGATTATAAGGAAAAATGGAACTGACTACACTGATTTAATGTGCAAGCTAATGAATGTGAAAAAGACCAAAAGCTTTTTAAAAAGTTTGTTTTAATAAGCCACAGTCCTCTCAAAAACATTCTGTAAACTCCTATAGGACATTCTTTAAATGATACACATTTCTGAGAAAACTTGAAATAATTTCAGCTGAGATATCTTGCTATAGGCCCATGTTATAGCAATGAGGAAATTCTACCTCAGAGGATGTGTCAGAACATGTTAAATTAAAAGTTCCTCAAAATCATTAACAGAGATGGTAACAGTAAGGCACAGCATCTTCCACCTTTTGCATCTATTTCTGATGTCACAAGTTCTCTTCATTAAGATCTACATGAACTCATCTTGTAACAGCATTTAAGACAGTAAAATTGCTCTTTTAAGGTGAGGCCCTCCCCATACACATTGTAGCAGGAGGCTGCAAATTTCCATTTTTTAATCCTTTGTACAAACCTTTAAAATTAACTGTCTTTAGGTCTGAGAAGTTCCTTTTAATGCAAGGAAGGTTCTCAAAGGTTCTCGGTTATGATGACAACACCCATCAAAACAGATTGGCCTCAAATTTGTGAAGGGCGGATTGTCTTAGCCATTGTCAGAGTGATAATTAAAACATGGCAGATATCTTCAGGTGCAGCACCTATTAAAAGTCTAATGAAACCATGATCAACTTCTGTTCCAGCTGTGTTTGAGGAGATGCACTTTTAAGAGATCAGACTCTGCCACCATGAGCTTCTTCAACAAATCAAAATGATGGTCTCTCAGGAGTTGGCCAACTCATCTGCTCAGTGACTGACGCAGCTCTTCATACATGGCTTGATCCTAATGATGCCAAGTTAGGTGAGGAAAAGGAAAAAGAAAAAACACTTCAGCCCAGCAAGAATGCACGCAATGTTTAAAGGGGACACAGTTTCTATTAGGAAAACTAAACAGAAATGACCTCTGTGCCTGGTGGCTAATATGTGGCCCAAATATTTACAAAAGAAAAAACAATTGGAGACAATTTTATGGGATTTGCTTAAGACAAGTCACCAACAACCTGTAATTATTAACAGAAGACTTTGTGCTGGCAGATTTATTGTATTACACACTGCCATGCATGTCTGAGACCCTGCCTATGGACAGAAGTTGGACTATACATTTAAGGTGTGATTTTAAACCAATTTAATTAAACTGTGTGCTAAGCCACATGCAGATAGTATCTTATTCTGTTTCAGAGCAATTTATGTTGGTTTGGTTTATGCTGGGGATGGGCCCACAGGATAGCCCCTGTCAGTGGTGTGCCTAGCTGTCCTCCTCCCCCAGGTTACATACTAGCTTTCTGCCACAGCCAAACTTCCACCCCAGGATCAGGGCTGGCAACAGTCCCACAGCTGGGAAGGCAATTTTGGTGCCCCACCCAAGCCTCCTCCCCAGGAGTGGGACTGGCAGTAGCCCCTGCTGGTCCTGCTCCTGGGGAGACTTTGCAATGAACTCTACAGTATAAAGCTTAAACAAGAGCCCACAGCACATATAACCGCTATGATTTTTAGCGATTACAAGCGTACATTTTTAACTGAATTTTTACATCCCTAATTTAAAACCAAAATAAACCAATCCGAAATAGAAATGAAGGAGACCATCCACACAAGGTTTTGCCCTAGTTTAACTAAATCTGATTTAAATCACGGCTTCAACTAATTCAACTGTTATTAACTTTTCCACAGACTTCTCTTATTCCTGGTCTTCTTCAGCAAGATTGCACAGGATGACATTGATGCAGCCAATATCTATATTATTTGCCAAATCAGACTTGTCTGGCTGAAAAGGAGCAGTAGCTGGAATAGGGAGTGAGGAATGAAGGTTTAAAGTCCACTTTTGCACACCAAAACACACTCAGCCACCTGAGATCTGGTGCCCTAAAATGCGAAAATACAGCAGTTGTTTTACTGAATTATGTAACTCCAACGCTCCAAAATAATCCCATTCTAGGTCTTTACAGCTAACAAGTAGGCAATTGTCCTTCATGCTGCTAGGTCAAATACATTCTTCTCCAACCACTCGAATTCTTGCCTTTGGATAACACTTCTCAGAGCTTCTGTGGCACAGGAAGTGTTTAGATAAGAGCAGCACAAAGCCCAGCACAAAATTTCCTCTTCCCTGAATTGCTTGTGCTAGCCCATTCCCCACACTAAAAGGAAAGGGAGTATCACCTCCTGATATGTCTTTTCAGAGGATTTGTTGTCTAGCAGCACATATGAACTTCAGGAAGGAAGTTGTAAGATTTCTATACACCCAGGCTAGAAACAGAGAACTTTTAAAATTAGCATTCCCATCTGCAATAGATTTCCCAGTTTCCTGCTGCAAGAATGGGACTCCTGTGGCTATTGTGCCATGTTGAAGAAGATTTTCTGATTTTAAACCTGACTTTCAGCCTAATTCAACTCTTTGAAATATAATCCCTTAGTGTATATAGAAAATATTTTATTTTCAACTAGTATGGTTTAAAAGTGGAAGTCTAAACCATAATTAAGCAATGGTTAATGTTGCTTTGCTCTGTCAGGAACATGAGAAATAGCTCAGATCTGGCAAAGCTTTCAAAATGGAACATAGAAAGTCATAACCCATTTGAGGGGAGGGGGGTAAAAGGTGGCATTCTTGGGAATGCTGTACTGCAGCAATGGGCAAAGCCAGTAAGTAGGCCTCCATCTGTAAGATTCAAATTGGGCATACATATTAACCATGGCGATTAAATACACTGCACTGAGTTTTTATTCTTAATCATGCCTTTTCAAGCACAAAGTGATCCATTATTAGGGGCAAATACCAGCAAAAGTAAAATAAAGAAGCAGGGAGATTGCTCTTACAATGTTGTGTGTAATCAACGTGCACCCCCCCTTTCCTCAGACTCCCCACCCGGCCTCTTCCCTGCCTCCTTCCTTAAGCATGCCCCATCCCTTCTCCTCCCCCTCCCTTCCAGCACTTCTGGAAGGCCTTGAATCAGCTGATTTGCAGCCAGACCCACCCTACTCCCTCCCAGAGCTTGAATGCTGGGAATCAGCTGGAAGGAAGGAAGAGGGAGGAGTAGGTACGTGAAGATAGGGTTACCAGGTAGACCTCTGCCCCCCCACCGGGGCCCAGCTGAGCACTGGAAGGGGGGTAGGAAGCAGAGCTGGAGAGGATTGGAGGCTGTGGGGCTGGAGTGCAGGATGGGAGGGGCCCGGAGGAAGGGGGGAGGGAAGCAGAGCTGGGGGGGATCGGGGGCCATGGGGCTGGATGGGAGGAGGGGGGTGGAAAGCAGAGCTGGCAGGGGCGTGAGGGGATGCAGCCATTGGCCGCAACCGAAGTCCAACAGGCCGTGCCCCCGGCAGGCACTCCCTCTAGTTGCTCGTAGAAGCTGGGCGGGGGCGTCCCCCACTCCCATCAGGCTTCCATCCTGCGCTCAGCCGGAAATTCAGAAAATACTGGACATTGCACATGTCTGGTATTTTCTGAATGTTTCTACCGGACAGAGGGCGCAAATACCGGGACTGTCTGGTAGAAAACCGGACACCTGGCAACCCTACATGCAGAGCCCGCAGCGTACCGCGTGGAAGGAGGGAGGCAGAAGGAAGTGTACAGAACACACTTCTGCGTGTGGGCCTCAGATTTCCCAACACAGTTGTATTGGATGGAAAGTTGTACTAGAAAGTAGGATGAACTGAAATCACTACTTTTAAATAAGAATGCAGGAAAATTTAAATAATCAATTGTAATCCTATTTTACAGGTGTATTTTTGAGGGTTTTTTTTTTTAAAAAAGGCTGATTCTCCCTGGTTGGTAACCATTAAAATATGTTCATTTGCAACTGAACAGATTTTGTACACTAGAGCTGATATACGCTTGACCCACAGTATTTCTTATGAAAGCTTTATTTTATAGCTTTGCTTTAGGTAGTTCTATCGATTTGGTTTCATAAGCTTTGCCTTGTAGCCGCTGCTAGGTATTATAATATCAAATGCAAAATACATTTTAAGTTAGTAAGAAATTGTTTATAGAATAGATTGTTTTTCAGCTTTGTAAGTCTTGAAGGAAATCCAGCCTGTTGCTCTATAAGAGAAATCCACTTTCTCTAAAATGAACCGTCCTTTGTATGAAGAATGTGTGAAGATGAGAGACAAAGACAGTAGCTGGTCAGAATGGTTAGCAAGGTGGTGTGAACATCAGTCACATTCAGGATGGCCAAAGAGGGGCAAAAATGAAATGGACCTAAAGCAAAGGCATACATCTGTGAAAGGGATCTGTGAATGAGATAAACCAGTTGCAGACATTCCCAAGATATTCATGGAAGTACTGATGGAGCTTGACAATGGAAGCAGCCTTGACGTAAACACCAATTAACAATTAGATGACTCCAACAAGATACTGCAAAACTATAGAAGACTAAAGTTGGGACTTAGGCCTATAAAAGTGGGGTGTAGAGCCATGGTGCTTTGAGTTCATCCTGTGAAGACAACTTGGAGCACTGGTTCACAACAGACAGAACCCGGCTCTTTCCTCATGCCCAGCCTAACTGTCCACTAGGCTGGTCAAGCACCAAGATGACTGACAGGGATGGGTGTGGGTTTATTTCTATACTGTATTTGCAATAAACACGGAGAATTGCCTTTTTCCCCTGAAAAAGATTCCATGTGCTCCTTCTTATTCAAAAGGATACTACTACTTTAGTACACATTGAAGCAGTTATGTAGCTAACCACACATTTACTCAAAGTCTTAATTTTCACATTTTTATTGTTAAAAAGTGGTGAATTATGCATTTCTGATTTATTTATTTATTAACTTATTATTTGTATCAAGCCCTATTTGGACAAAAACTGGAATTCAATTAAAATCCACATAAAAATATAACTTTACAGTTCTATTTATTAGTTAAATAGAACCTCCTAAGGTATGCTGAATAAAAAACAGTTTAGCAAAACATGTTTTGGATTTAAATCAACTGATTATTATAAAAAGAAACCCATGACTAGGCATCCTACGTGCTATGGTAATACAAATAAATAATTATAATTATCTGTTGTTAATGATTATTTCTGGCACTGGAGATATTCCACAGAGATTTCAACAACCTACACCCCACCATCAACCTCAGCCTGGACCATTCTACACGAGAGATCCACTTCCTGGACACCACCGTACAAATCAACAATGGAAAATTAGACACCACTCTCTACAGAAAACCCACTGACTCATACAGTTACCTACATGCATCCAGCTCCCATCCAGAACACACCACACGATCCATCGTCTATAGCCAAGCCCTTCGATACAACCGCATCTGCTCTAACCCCACTGACAGAGACCAGAAGCTTCAGGATCTCTACCAAGCATTTATAAACCTCAACTACCCACCCGGAGAAATAAAAAAGCAAATTGAAAGAGCCAGACGAATACCTAGAAACCATCTACTTCAAGACAGACCCAAGAAAACCAACAATAGAACACCACTTGTCATCACCTACAACCCCCAACTTAAACCTGTCCAACACATTATCAATAAACTACAGCCTATATTGGAACAGGATACCATACTCAAAGAGGCTCTGGGAGACAGACCCATAGTCTCCTATAGACAACCACCTAACCTCAAGATGATTCTTACCAACCACCACAGGACATACCACACTAATACCAACCCTGGTACCTTCCCTTGCAACAAACCCCGTTGCCAGCTTTGTCCACATATTCATTCTGCTGATACCATTATTGGACCTAACCAAGTGAGTTATAAGATCAAGAACACATATTCCTGCGCATCCAGAAATATAATCTATGCTATCATGTGCCGAAAGTGTCCGTCTGCTATGTACATTGGACAAACATCTCAGACACTTCGCCAAAGGATTAATGCCCACAAAACAGATATCAGACAAGATCACAAAGAGAAAACAGTTTCTTGCCACTTTAACCAGAAAGGACACTCTCTAAATGACTTAGCCACCTGCATTCTGCTACAAAGACCTTTTACATCTGCACTTGAAAGGGAATCCTCTGAACTGTCATTCATGTTAAAATTCGACACTTACCACCAGGGACTTAACAAGTCTTTGAACTTTCTCACCCATTATCAAGACAGTTTCCCCAATTATCACCTGTAATACCATTAACTCACAAACATCCCACTCTCCCTACCTCTAATATCATCAATTCACAGACACTTACCTTCCTTCCTCCCCCTTCCCACCCCCCCGCATCCTCCTTCTGTTCTGCAATGTGATTTGTCCTTTTCATATTTGTTCATTTTTTTTAATTGTATCCTTTGGTATATATGGTTGTGACTACTTTCTTCCACTATTTGATCTGAGGAAGTGGGTCTGGCCCACGAAAGCTCATCATCTAATAAACCATCTTGTTAGTCTTTAAAGTGCTACATTGTCCTGCATTTTACTTCTGCTGAGACTTTGATATGTTAAAGAATAACAATCAACAACTGAACTGTCTAAGCATTCTGTATATAGGATACCTAAACCTGTATGACAGGGCTGCTTTCACTCTTGGTGTGACAGCCTGCATGCATGCATCATAAAGTTTTTCCTTCTAGATTTCTCTCCTGCCTCACTGATTTGACCTCCGGCCTCGGACCCTTCTGGGGGCTCTGTACCCCAGGGGAGCGAGATTTCCCCCTCATCACCATGTCCTTCAAGATTTTAGAGCTAGTAGGTCTCACCCTCTCTCACCTTTTTATTTATAGATTTGAACATGAAAACAAGGCTTTTTGAAAGGGTGCTTCCATCAAGTGAAGAGAAAGTTGATAGATTATAATAATGGAGTTTTCTAATGCATAGAAATGATAAGATGAAATAACGGCATGCTAGAAAACAGAGGTTTTAAGTACATAATTGTAACAGGGACTGCAGTGCCAGAATACAGAAATGGTCTATGTCAGCCATTCTCCAAACTTCAGCAACCCAAAGACCCCGATTTTGATTCAAAAATTTTCAGGGACCCTCAAACTTCCCCTCACTCAGACCTTGCTCTGAAGCTCTGCCCGCACTCATTCCATTCTCCCTCCTTCCATCACTTGCTCTCCCCCGCCCTCACTTTCACCAGGCTGAGACAGCAGTTTGGGTGGGCAATGGTGCAGCTGGGGGCCCAGGGAGGGAGTTTGGGTATGGGAAGGGGTGAAGGCTCTAGAAGAGAGTTAGGGTGCAGGTGGGGGAGGGTGCTCAGGGAGGGAGTTTGGATGTGGGCTCTAGACTGGGGTGTTGGGTTGTGTGTGTGGGGGGGGGGGGAAAGGGGGGGGTTGGGTGTTCCTTACCTCCAGTGGCTCCTGAAAGCAACCAGCACATCTCTCTGGCAGCAGCTCCAAAGCAGGGGAGCAGGGTGTCTATGTGCTGCCTCTACCCACAGACACTGTCCCCACAGCTTCCCCGGTCACAGTTCCCAGCCAATGAGAGCTGCAGAGTGAGCACTCAGGGCAGGGGCAGCATACAGCTGCAGGGATGTGCCAGATGCTTCTGGAAGTGGTGCAGAGCCAGGACAGATTAAGTAGCATGTCTTGCTGCACTGCTGGACTTTTAGTGTGCAGGATGTGGTGGGAGGCTGAGGGAGGAGTTGATCAGAGGGGCCCGTGGATCCTCTGAGGTACCTTCGGGCACCCCAGTTGAGAAACAGTGGTCTGTGGTCAAGTGTTCTTCTGTTCAATAGTGGCTCAATACTCAGTGCTTCAAAAGGAAAAAAAACATCCTTGGCTAGGGGAGGAAATTCCTTTCTAACTTGGATGGTATCAGTTTATAACCTCAAACATGAGGAGTCTGAATCCATGTCGTTTAGTCTAGGCAGTGTAACTGTAGTTACTTTACTTATCCTTAATAGTATCAATCTTTTAAAGTCTTATTCAAGCTTCAAGTCTTATTTACTTCCATATTAACCTGAATCAAGGATTGCCATAGATTAATACACATATTGACTACTGAAATTGATAGCTGAAAATAATGTACATTTTTTCTTTGGGATAAAAATCGAACAGGAAAGGATTTCAGTGGATATTTATCCAATCATTTTACACCTAGCACATTTTGAGTTTGAAGAAAGTAGAGGAACTGGTTTTTGTTTTTAATTGATGTTCATACTATAGTGAATGTGATTTCAATGCTTCCTGACTAAAGTCCATAAAGCCAGCAGATACGTGGAACCTTTCCAAGCCAGCAGACCTATGAGCCTTTCCATGAGAAGGGACTTAAAGCAATAAAGACAATGTCTAAATTCCAAAGAATTCTCCTCTGGTCAGAATGCATGAAATGAATGCTGAGAGATAATGATAGCAAACACTTAGCAAATTTACCTGCCTTTCATTCTCAAAAAGAGAACGGTTCATGATCTGAGCTATCAGACATATGATCAAATTATATACTGACATTAAAAAAAAAAGCATGACAAGGATAATCAAGAAGAAAAAACAAGGCTTTTTCTTCATTTTTTTTAATCTCAAGATGAAGATTTTATAAACCACACTGTTAATTCAGTAGGTGCATAAGTAGTGGAAGCAAATGTCAACTTGGGTATGTCTACACTGCATTCCTCTCTCTCTCTCTGAGAGGAATGCACATATAGACATCCGAAATTGAAAATGAAGCGGGGATTTAAATATCCCGCACTTCATTTGCATAATCACAGACTGGCGCTATTACGAAATAGCGCTACTGCGAGAAAAAAAAACGGGGTTATTTTGAAAGAAAACCCTTCCCTCAAAATAACCCTTACTGAGGTTTAAGGGTTATTTAGAGGGAAGGGTTTTCTTTCAAAATAACCCCGTTTTTTCCTCTCGCAATAGTGCTATTTCTCAATACTGCCAGTCTGTGATTATGCAAATGAAGTGCGGAATATTTAAATCCCTACTTCATTTGCTATTTTAGATGTCTACATTTGCATTCCTCTCTCTCTCTCTCTCTCTCTGAATTCAGTGTAGACATACCCTTAGTGAATAGAAAACTGAACTCCTATCATCACTGTGGTGGCGGAAGGGCAGTAATCTTTATGGATGAGACTTAAAACGGAGGCCCTAAATGCTTGAGCTTATTTATGAAAAGTCTCAATGGATCTTTTAGAATGTTAGCTCAGATGTTCTGGACACTGTAAACGTATCCTGTCCTCTGTTCTTCTCCACCAGTTTCTAGTGACTACAGACTTCTTCACCTCCTACCCTCAACTTGCTTTGTGTGATGTTAAACGTTATTCACTGACCCGCACATTTATAGCTTTTCTTACCTTTCTTGATATAGATGATTTCACTTTCTTAAATGCTTCTTCAAAATGGTTTTTGCTAATCCTGATTTCTCCTTAAAAAGAACACAATACAATGGACTTTGTGATTTATCCCATTTCGGTATATAAAACACCCCCCACATCCCACTTTCCAAATAATTTTCAGGCTTCCATTAATTAAAACTTCTCAAATCGTTGCATTTCATTAACTACTTTGTCTAGTATCATGTCTAACACAGACTCTCTCTATGATCTTGAGCAAGTCCCTTACCCTCTGTACATCAATTACACCATCTACAAAATGGACATAATATCTACTGCCTTACAGGGTTGTTTCAAGTATCCGTGTCTGCAACTACAGATTAAGGGCTTGATTTTCAAATTAACTGCAGCTCTGATCAAAATTCAGCTAGAATTCAAGGCACTCAACAGTTCGGAAAACAAGAGACTTAAGTGAGCCCTGGTCTATACCTAAAACTTAAGTCAACCTAGCTACCCTCATGCCTGGGTGTGAAAACTGAGTTTCAGCAGTATGAAGTTAAGCTGATCTAAGTCTCTGTATACACATCACTAGGTTGCTACAAGAATTTTTCCATCAACTGAGCAAACAGCCTTTTGAGGGATGAATTAACTATACTGATGGACAAAAACCTTTTATCGCTGTAGCAAGCGTCTACACTATATGGGCACAACTGCAGTGTCTTAGCAGTTCCACTGTAGCCTACTTAATGTGGACATACCCAGTTTGCTCAAGATCAAACTGGCAATCTAGGACATTGTTAGCTCAGAAATAAGGGCTCCTCATTTTCAGTCCTACACTCTCATTACATATTACATACGGTAATTTTTTTTCTTTAGTTAGTTTTGCATTAAAAAAAAAATCTTTTAACATTATCCCCATCATCACTTTGGTGCCCAGCTCACTCCAGCACTCTACTGACATTGTTTGGCACTCTCCAGAGTCCAGGCAAATGGTTACATATATGTCATGTCATCAGGTACCTAGTCTTGCATAATCTATATGCGTATCAGATTGTTTCTTTTTCCAGCACTTCCATCCAAAAATTACATGAATAAATCATTAGACTTAATGATTCTTGAACACACCCTTTGAGATAACAGGTCTATTGGGAAACTACTGCATTCCAAACAAATGGAAAAGAAGCGTGCGTTGCCCAGCTCTCAATAGGAAACAGCTTATAATGTATGTGGATGTAATAGATTATAAGATCAAATTAGTATATAGATTTAATACAATAATTATAATGTACGCAGGTATACTTCACAGCAGACACTTTGTGGTGATTGTTTTGTATGTATTTCATTCGAGTACTTTCAGTTTCACTAACTTCTGCAACCACTTTTCACAATTTTTTGGGAGGAGTGGGGAGCATAAAACAGTGGACATGAATAGCTAGACTTATCAATCCAGCAAGTCTCATGAACATATTTAACCACTGTAGATTTATTTACAGTAAATCATTAAAAATGTTGGTTAAAACTACAGATCTCACCAAAACAAAATTCCACACAGATGGGCTCAGGCAACAATGATTTGTCTCCCAGAAAGCTAAAGTAAAATCTAGCTCAGCATTCATCCACATCACCATCGCCTCTCTACCATATAAACATCTGGAAACTTACTGTGGCTGATTTAAAGAGCACTATGAATTATTAAGAGAGCTGTAGGCACTTCATGCTGAATAAATTCTAAGCCATGTCTGCAGGGTGTTCAGGTGTATGATGGGCTCAGGGTTGAGGTGTGTGAAGGGTACAGAGGTATTATGATGGTGTGGCCAGAGTGGGAATTGGCTCCAATTGGGGGCTTGTTGGCCAGGCTTCATTTTTAAATAAAATATGTCCAACACAAAATGTTTCAGCATTGTCTTTGTTTATGGGAGGGACGGGGAACCTGTTTTGGGTCAGGGGCCACTGACCCACAGAAAAATCAGTTGGGGACCACACAAGTGAGATGCAAAAAACAACTCCTCCAAAACCCCCCAAGCCTCACTGATGTAACCCTAACTGAGACACCTCATTCCCCTGGCACTCTAGCCCCTGTAGTTAAGCTAGGAAGATGTATTGAACCTATACTAATAGCCTGGCCTCCTGTAAAATTCCTGGATCAGGGAAACACTGAAGTAAACTTGAGGTCTAGGAAAATTACTACGGTACCCAGATCTAGTCAACATAGAACAGATGGAAGCTGTACAGTTTGATACATGCCCTTGTCCATAGTCAGAGATAAGAAACCTAAATCCAAACAAGAGACAAAAAGGGGTTTCCAGAGTTTAGTAACGACGAATCAGAGATTATCTTCAGACCTCTAAACAAAAAAGGAAAGTGGGGGAGTAGAATTTTGTTTTTAACTTTAAAAAAAAAGTTGTTAGTTTTCCCACAACCTCCCAATAGACCCTAATATATTATTATATTACTCATCACTTAGGTATCTGACCCACATTCAAACAATTATCTGATTTTGCATGTAAGCTCCATGGGAAATATATCATCCTGGATGTGAGAAGGTCCAGGAGAATCATTGTCCTCACCAAGACTTCACTGTGAAAGGGAGCAAGAAAAGAGTTTGTATCGGAGCTAGGGAGACCGATCTGTTGTCATTGAGATTATCCTAAGATAAAAACTGGGTCAGACCATAGGTCCATCTTGCCCAGTATCTTGTCTTCTGAAAGTGGCCCAGTGCCAGGTGCCCCACAGGGAATGAACAGAACAGGGAATTATCAAGTGATCCATCCCCTATCACCCACTCCCAGCTTCTGACAAAGGCAAGGGACACCTTCTTTGTCTCATGCTGCAGTCAGACAAAAGACATTTAAACTCAATAGTTATGTATGTAGATTTATTTTATTGTTGAAGTTAATGTATCACTGGAGACAGAAAGAGGGAGGTTCTCAAACTTTACTGTTCCATGACCTCTTTCTGTCAACAAAAGTTACCACGACTCCAAGGGTGGGGGGGGTCCAAAGCCTGAGTCCACCCAAATCCCATTGTCATGGGTAGGAGGGAATAAAGACAAAGCTCCATGGCTTCAGCCCCAGATTGGGGGCCCGTAGCCTGAGACCTGCCATCCAGGGTGTATCTAGACTACAGGGTTTTTTCAAAAAAATGTGGCCTTTTTTCAAAAAAAAACTTCCCCTGCGTCTACTAGACTGCTGCCGCATTCTTTCGAAAGTAAATTGAAAGAACACGGCAGTTTTTTTGACCGTGGAAAACCTTGTTTTACAAGGTAGAATGCCTTTTTTTGAAAGTGCTCTTTCGAAAAAAGGAGCTATGTAACACAAACTGTGCTTTTTCAAAAGAGCATCCAGACTGCCTGGGCGCTCTTTCAAAAAAGCGACTCGCTTTTTTGAAAGTACTGGTTGTAGTCTGGACACTCTTTTTCGAGAGAGGCTTGCAGTCTAGATGTAGCCCCAGGGCTGAAGCATTTGGCCTTAGCAGTGGGGTAGATTCAGATTTGGCCATGGGCAGTGGGGCTTGGGCTTTGCCATCAGATTTATCAAATCTAATGCTATCCCTGGCAACCCCATTAAAATGGGGTCACAATCTTCTTTGGGGTCCTAACCAAGAATTTGAGAATTATTACATTAAGCTTCTCCATTGCTTATCCCTAGCAAGGTGGTAATTTTATTTTTGTTTTATATTTTTAAAGGGTGAGTGAGATATTTAAGAAATGATAAAGTATACGTGTTAACTTGCTCTCTTTCACAGCATGCAGGTTAATAAAGGGCAGAGAACACTGGGGACAGAGCTCCCACCTGCACCTCCCATCTCAACAATTCCCCCCAACCAAAACAGGTAGACAGGAAGTTTTCAGTTAGATCTTGACATTAAATCAAATAAAGCTGGATTTGTCTTTAAGCCTCAGCATTCCAGCTTGGGTGCACAACTCTCGCAGCCCCAATCCAACCAGAAATACATCCTTTAACTGGATGTAGCTGCAAGCTAGCTTGGCTAACCAGTTCAGAAGGTAGGTGGGGGGCCATCATTCTGCTTTCTTTCTGCAAAGGCCAACAAGAGTTAGCTTCAAGCAAACACACACTCTGGTGCAAATACTGGATGTCTGTCTGGCTGCTGTGCAGGAGGTTCAAAGGGATGGGCATGGAAGTACTTTTAAAGTGCTTTGAGATCTAATGATGAAGAGATCTACATAAGACTGAGGCAGGGATGAACCATGGGCCACAAAATCCACTAAAAACCTTTGGCAGGCCATACATTTTTAAAAAGTCACTATGCAGTTTGTAATTAAGAAGGGCTACCTATAATATGTTAACATACAATGAACCATGTTTTAACAGCATAAAACCTCAGTATTCTCAAATATAAAATCCACTTAGAGCACAATAGGTAAGAGAAACACTAACGTGCAGTTCTATGATAGAAGGTGAGTGGGGCTCGACTGAAATTAGATTAGAAAAATGTCAATTCACAGCATTTGAAACTGCAGTATAGACAGAGACCACACAGGGAACTTTTCATTCCAAATGTGAAGTTATCCTTAAAGATGTAGTCTACCTGACCCTAAGAACTCCAAGAAATTAAGTTTATTAAAGGTCTTTGGAACTTATATTTTCCAAAAAGACTTAAAAATGCTTTTCATGCAGTCCCAGAATATAAACTAAAAGAAGTGGTAAAGTGCAAGAAGCAAGAAAAAAAGTTCTGTAGCCCCAAAATGGCTTGAATAGAGTCAGAATCCCATCTGAATTGTTATGACCCTATAGCTACTGCAAGTAATACCTAAGTTAACTAAAATAAATAAATTAAAGGAAAAACCCTCCATTTTTACTTTGTACATGTCACAACCCTTTATATACAGGCAGTCCCCGACTTACGCGGATCCGACTTATGTCGGATCCGGAGATCTGAATGAGGCTGCCCCAGAGTACACGGACTGCGGGACCTTGCGGTCCTGCCGCCCGTGTACTCTGGGGCTTTCTCTACGTCTCCCTGGTCTGCAGAC